CTGCGGCGGCGGCGTCTCCCTCCCGCGCGCCCGCCTCCGGGGGCGGCTCGGCCGCAGAGCTGGCGCTGGCGCTGGAGGAGGAGCTGTCGCTGCTGGCCGCCGCCGGGGAAGCGCCCGCGGAGCCCGAGGCGCCGGGCCCGGCCGGGGAGGCGCCCGCGGAGCCCGAGCTGCTGTCGCTGATGAGGCAGAAGGAGAAGGACCTGATGCTGGCCGCCCGGCTCGGCAAGGCGCTGCTGGAGCGCAACCAGGACATGACCCGCCAGTACGAGAAGATGCACAAGGAGCTGACGGACAAGCTGGAGGTGAGGCGCCCGCGGGCAGGGCGGGAGGGCCGGGCCGGGCCGGGCGGGCCAGGGAGCCGCGTGCCCCGTGACTCAGGGCGGCGCTGCCCAGCCCGGCGCCGCCTCGACCCCCCGGCGCGCGGCCCGAGCGACTGGCGCCGCGCCGCGCCGGCCTGGCCTGGCCTGGCCTAGGTTTCCCGCGCCGGCGTCCTCCGGATATGCCTGCGGCCAGCATGGCCAAGCAGGTGGAGGACACAGGGCTGGGTCAGTCCAGCCCACCTCTGCGGTCACTTTCTCAACTTACACGCAACTGCTCTGCTTTGAAAACTGAAAAATTGGTAATGGTGATCTGAGCACGTGCAGAGTGCGTCAGGAAGCTAGCGGCCCCCTTCCTCTTCCCAGGCCCTCGCAGCTGGCATCCGGTGTTTTGGGGCGCCGTACTGTTTGCTCTGGCTCTAGCATAAGGGCTTGGCTGGCTCACACAACTCCTGGGGGCCCTTGTCGAAGAAATTATGCTGCCCAGGAAATCATTCTGCACATGCTCAGGAACGCTGGCTCTGGGCTCTGCGCCTTCTGTTCTTTGGCTGCACTTTGGCCACTGGAGTGGAAATGCCTTGTGCAGCCTGGATCCTGGTGAGATAAAAAGGTGGAGGTAGGTGAAGTCTCACCTGCAGTGTTGAAAAGGGGCAGTGCTGGGAAGATGTGTTGCTAGGCGCCGAGGGCAGAAGAGGGGAAGACGTGGTTAGGGCAGGTTTGCCAGACGATCCTTTGCACTGGTTCTGGCGGGCGCCAGGGCACAACACCCCCAGTGGGCCCTCCCCCAGGGAGTCTCCCCCTCAGCACCCTCGTCACCCGCTGCTCTTGCTTCTCCGCCTCTCCCCACACCCACGGCCTCTTGCTTGCTCACTCTGGCTCCACATCTCCTCTTCTTCCCCACCACCACCTTGGGCTGGACCATGGCAAGGGGCAGGTCAAGAAGCAGGCTGCAATGTGGAAGAGGAGCAGCGACTCCAGGGGGTTCTAGCTTGTGGGCCCCCACCGGGGTGCAGGCCTCCGGCAGACGCTGCCCCCACTTCAGGGCTTCTCCTGCTCAAGCCACTGTTCCTTGACCATGTTGGGAACAAAAGAGGCCATGATTGCTGGCATTCTGCCTGGGGAATGGCTGCACTAACTCTTTGGATGAGGCTCATGAATCCTGGCAAATGAAGTCTGTGGCATGGAGGCGGTGGAGGAGGAAGGAGAGCCGCCATCTCCAGGTGTTCAGGCAGACCTGGGAACCGGCAGGGTATGGAAGGGACAGGAACCAGAAGAGCCTGGCCCCATCCTTGACCCCATGACTCAGCGCTGGGAGAGAAGGGCTAGCCAACTAGAGGGCCTAAGATGGCTGCCTGTCTCCAGAGGGGTTTTCCCGGAGAGGTGGCGTGCAGGGTTACTGAAAGGAATAGTTTCTAGTTTGGGTTCAGTGGAGCACTCTGTACATACTTGGAGACTCTCTCTCTGTTGGGTATTCGTTTGATGACTGTACTTTGGAAATAAAGCGCCTTTTGCCGAAGAACTGTCTGTTGTCAAGGGGGTGGGCTGAGCTCCTGACAGACACCCACACTGTGCCCTGAGCACTAAGGTGTGAGCCTGCTTCCTGCCTAAGGGTGCCGACCGGACCAGCCTGCAGTGCAGAGACGCATCTGTGTGCTGCCCCTTGGCTGTGCCACGAAGCGGCCTGCTGGTACCTGTTCAAGAGCAGATCCGCAAAAGCAGAATGCAGAAGAGAGGAGCTGCTAAAAACATGCCCAGGTTAGGTCTGTTGTCCCCAACCCAGTGCCTTACAAATCTGTTGGACTACAACTCCCATGATCCCCTCTGGCAGCATAGGGTAGGGGACTATAGTCCAATATATCTGGAGGGAGCCAGGGTGGGGAAGGCTGGGTTAAACGCATGACATACTTGATGGCTGGCTTTCCCCATAAAAATAGAGGCAGGCTGAGCCCGGAACTTCAGGCAGCCTCTTGAAGCAGCCTTCCAGTTGTTATAGATTGCAGTTCCCATCACTCTCTCAATGGGCATGTTGGCTGGGAATGATGGGAGCTGCCGTCTGCACTCATCTGTTGGGCAGAAGAAACATCATCTTTATCCCCGGAGCTGCTCTGTGGCCCTCCAGGCTGTATTCCGTCTGTGAGCACCTTCCAGGGCCGGTGTGGCCCTACCCCCGATGGCCTGGTCTTGCCTGGCTGTGTGCCGTCCTCCATACCTCTCCAGCAATCTTCGCAGTGGGAGGCTGGGTCTGAAAGGTGGGAGCTCTGGGCAGTTTGCACCTGCTGGGAGCCGCTTCTCGTATCCGCAAGCTATTTTGAAGCCGCAGTTCCCGGAGCGACAGGGCTCCCCAGGCAGGCACTGGCAGCTGGCACGGGAGGGACAGAACGCACTTCCTGACCCCTCCTTCCTGAGCGGCTCCAGAGGCCAGTGCCTCGCCAAGCACTGGCCAGTCCATGTGCCTGCTACGGCTTGGGGGTATCCCTGCTGGTGCTGAGCAACAAGGCTGGGTGGGGAGGGGCTGAGTTTCCCCGCATGCGCCTTCCTGCCTGCTTTCCGAATCCGAGGTTGCTTCCATCTTGGGATCTTCAGCCAAGGGGGAGTTCTGCCTAGACAAACTTCCCCGTTCGATTGACCCGCCCTGCTTGGGGAAGCATTCCTAATCCTCACCAGCCTCAAGTGAACCGTCTCCCCCATCGGGGTGTGCCTGAAGCAGGTGCATGCTCATTTGGCCCAGCGGATGCTTTCGAGGCCTGGGCTGCAGGAGCTGCGTCCGGCTGGCGCAGCACGCCAGTCTGCATGTGTTGGCAACGTACCCGGGGCAAAAGGGACGGAGGGGGCGAGGATGATAGTTCTGCGGCAAAGAGTTTGCAGAGCTGACACAGAGTGGAGAGAGAGGGAAGAAATACAGGAGGTGAATAAAGTGATGCAGTTATACCTTTCGATCGGAGAATGCTTGTTGAGGACTAAGACACTGAGCTAAAGTGGTGTTCCCACAACTGGGCGCTCATTCGGCATGGCTGTGGATGATGGCACCTGTAGTGTGACATGCCTGGCAGACCCACCCACCCCAGTTGGGAGGCAAGGAGCGAAAGGCTTTCTGGGAATGATGGAACCAGTGTGGTATAAATGGTTAAGAGTGTGCGTACGGGAGGCGGGCGGTCTGAGTCCTACTCCCCACTCAGCCATGGAACCACCTCCGGGACTCTGGGCCAGTCAGAGGCTCTCAGCCCAGTCTACCTCACAGGGTTGTTGTTTTGGGGATAAGACTGAGAGTGGGAGGAGAATGATTTTATTTATTTATCCCCCTATACATGTATTTATAGGCCACCTATATTGCCCAGGGCTGCTTTGAGTTCATTGGGAGAAAACCTAATAAATCGAATACGTAAATACAAAGCACGAGCACTATTTAAGAGGGAGCTTTGAGAAGGGGAGGGCCTTAGAGCCAACATGCAAAAAAGCACCCCCAGGGATGTGCTGGTAAGCAGGATGTGGTGAAGTCACTGAGAGCTCTGAAGGGATGGCTAGAAAGGAGCGTGTGCAGAATCTGGGTCAGCAGGTGGTGAAACTGAGAAAGAATACCCAGATGGATTATGGCGGGGATGGGTTGCGTGGCTTCAGTCGTGCCGTGTTGGCTGTGTCAGTAGGTAGGTCTGCAACAAAATGTAACAGCACAGAATACCGTTTTTTTCGAGCCAGTCAGGCATGCTTTCCGCCAGAAAACTCAGCTCTCCATCACTTTCCCACCAGGTTTCCTGTGTCCCTACAAAGATTTAGCATTCTCTGACCACTGAATATACCCGGGCAGTTTGGACATGTATTTATTTACCTGTTGTTCCCTGAAGGGTTGTCCCCAAAATCTAAACATGGCATTGTGTTTCTGGGAATGCTGGAGCTCCCCCAAACCTGCTTATACCTCTGCCTCACTCATGTTTGACAACATAAGGATTCTTGTCCAAAGAAAGAATTCACTATTTGTACAGAACACTATTCACTGTTTCTGTAATGTCCCTTGTTGCAGAAATTCAGAACAGTCTGGGCACGGCCTCTCTCAGTGCGCGCCTCAAACACTCTGGCCCTGCAAGATGCTGTTTGTTTGTTTTTCTTTTCGAAGCATATGGTTTCCTTTCTCTCTTTCTTTCCCACTTTCCCCTTCCCCTAAAGCAGAAACCAATAACTTGCAGCCCGCCACCTAATTTCAGAAGCCCCTTGAAAGCATTTTGTTCAGGCAGGTGGCAAGAATGAACTGTTTCCTCTTGCCACCTGCTCCCCACCCCCAGCACACACAGGGCAGAAAGAGAAGGGTGGCAGAAAGAGGAAGGGAAGTGGGTGGTCCGTGCCCTCTTTCGGCCCTAGTTGCACCCGTTCGGTTCTGCCCTCCTGCCATCATGGTGTCCCCTGTTGATTACCCCCCGAGGAGTGCAGTCCTCAGCAGAAAAAGGACACCAAGTCCACCTTAAAACAACAGCTTAGTGTGGTGTCCAGTGCATGTTCAGGAAAAACACAGGCCTACAACTCTAATACAAAAAAAAATAGAAACAGGACACAAACTAGAAATGCCCTTTTCCAGTCTAAGCATGCACCTTTAATAGCGGCAGCACAAGGTGGGCTGCTGAACTGGCTGCATTCACTGTGAACTTGGTCACAAGTCAGCTGTGAGTGAGGGCAAGCTCATCCTGGAGCAGCGCTTTGTCTCTTATTGTGCCTGGAGACAGACACCCTCCCCTTTTTTTAGGAAAACAGGCACTGATTGGAGAGAGGCACCATGTTCCACCAAGTGTGTACACACACTTCTTTTGTTGGTGCCTGCCTCTGATTAAATAGCTTTTGCCTGGTTTTTGAATGATGCATTCCCTTCCAAAGATCAGAGCAAATTTTCTGAAAACCCATATACTGCTACAACAATTATACTTTATAAAAACCATGGATGAGGAATCCAGTTTCTTATGGATTTTATTTTACTGGTTTACTTATATTTGATATGACCTCTT